TTGGCCTCAGGCCTCAAGACGGGTCGTCATGAGACGCACTTCAACCAAAGATAATCTGATGATTTAGCTCCAAAATCATTTTTTGGACTAAAGCTTCCAGAGCATTTTAATATACGTTTGTTTGTATAAGTGTCAGCTTAACCCTGTAATGCCAAATGTATCATGTTTGATACACACGGTTTCTGAAATGTTTTGCGTCTGACACCTTTTGCATCATTTAATGGTAAAAACTTTGCTCAAAATCCTAATTTACACAATAAGATATACCTGATGACAGGGGGCAGAAGACTACACAAAAAACTTATTTTATCGCTTGAATTATCGCATAGTAATAAATTATTAATATTGAAAAATTATTTTTGTTTTTTGTTTTTACATATTTTGTTAAAAGGCCAAATAAGGAATTCAAACAAAAAAAAAAAGGAATTTTCTGTTTTGTTTTTTTCTTGGATCAGGCTTTAAAGGGTTAATGCCTCCTCTGTAGGCTTTAAAATCCCCTCTGAAGGATGAACACCTCACACTTTAATAGGTAGAAGGACTTTGAATCCTGTTACAAATGCTATATATTTTATTATATCCATGCACAAAAGCAGATGAAAAAAGTCTTATTATTAGATTAGAAGCAGAGGAGTTGAAGAAAAGGCTGTAAATGTGTGAAAATCTTGTCCAAACAGCTGCATGTCAGTAACCTCCTCCATCAAATCCCCAAAAGGGCCGAGCACAGCACAGCAGGTCTGTGCCTGCGTGGGCCCGTCCGGCACGGCATTTTTCAGCCTCCGAGATCAGAAACGCGACCTCTGACCTCCGCTTCACAGCTGCCTGGGACATAAATCTCACACAGGAAAACAAAACCAGCCAAAAAAAGTAAAAAAACGCCACAAATAGCTCCGATTCAGGGGGGAAAAAAACAAAGCTCCTCTCACCGTCTAGAGAGGGGACCACGGTCTTCCTCAGAGCGAGCACCAGCCCCAGGGGAGAGCCGAACAGGAAGAAGTCGGTCACCTCGAAGTCGAATTTTCCCAGGGAGCCTCCCTCCAGCATGGTGCTGCTGCTGGAGCGCCGGGAGCCTGGATCCCCGTGCAGGACGCTGGAGTGGAGGCTGCTCAGACACAGAGACTTAGTCAAACGTCCGCCCAAAGGCCTCACGGACTGGACTGGACTGGACTCTAGGAGCCGCGTTCCCCCTCACCTGGACAGGAAGGCCTGGTGGTGCTTGATGGTGTCCAGCTCGTAGGTGGAGGAGTCGCTGCGCTTGCGGGGGAGCTGTTTCTGCGGGTCGTCGGGCCCGGCGCAGCGCGGGATGTCGATGTTGCTGCGGCTCAGGCCGCGGCTGCCCTCCAGGGACAGCGTCGGGGGGGAGACGCTGTTTATGACGATGCCCGGGGACAGCAGCTCCGAGTCCTGGGAGGAGAGGAGAGGGGCGTTCACACCGGTTTCATCCATGGCGGGAGCCTCTAACCACCTGGGACTAGAAAACCGTTTGTACTTGTGAGGGATTTCTTTGAATCCCTGATCAGTTTTAGTCAGAAAACGAAAGGGAGACAGTTCAATGAAATCTGAGAACAATGTAATGGTGATTTTTGGGAAAACTGCTGGACTAATTCATCTTTTACAGCATCTATTTGTGGTAATTAAACTCAGAATAGTTGGAAAGGAACTTTAAAAACTAAACAGAACAGATGTTATTTTGCTGATGTTATCAACAAAAAGCCAATGCACTTTCTAAGGTAATTAACTTTGCTCATGTTTAAAGTGCCTGAGTATTTTGTGCTCTCTGGTCACCCTGTTTCACAGTGACCATTGTTACTGTCGCACCGTTTTATGAGCTCTTTAAGGTCTTCTTTGATATGGAACATGACCACTTTCCCATTGGAGAACCTTGCCCTTCATCCAATATGGTGGCTTTCATAGCGGTCTGAAAAATGACCTAAACTCTCTCTGAGACCAGCAGAGAAGCTGCGTTTGGATGCCCAGAGCTGCTCGTGCGGCCCTCGGCCCGCCCGGGGGAGCTGACAGGTACCTGGACGCTGATGGTGCTGCCCCTCCTGCTGCTGTTCTGGCTCTCCGACACCGTCACCGAGCTGCTGCACAGGGCGTCAAAGCCCAGAATTCCTCCCACGCAGTCCCCGATGACGCACACCTGTTTACGGGGGCCAGAAAGAGCTCCTTCAGCCACTCACATTCAATTAAATTCAATTCAATTCTATTTTATTTATATAGCCCCACATCACAACAACAGTTGTCTCACAGCGCTTTCCAAACAGAGCAGGTCGGACCCTACTCTGAAGTTAACTACAGAAACCCAACAATTCCCACCATGAGCAAGCACTAGGCGACACAGGCAAGGAAAAACTTCCTTTTAACAGGCAGAAACCTGGAGCAGAACCATGGCTCAGGGTTCCCGCCCTCCCCCCGCGCTGACCTGCCCGCTGAACGACGCCCCCTCCGCAGACCGGACGAAGTCGCCGTACACCTGGTTGGCCCGTAAGATGACGGTTGCCACGGCGTCCTGGTACTGAGGGGCAGAGGTGGCCAGCAGAGGCAGGGCGGCCAGCGGGATGTGGTCCTGGCTGCTGGACAGGCAGCCCTCGTCGTAGCTGTAGGGGCTGAGGCTGCAGATCAGAGGGGCAGAGGGGGGGGGGGGGGTCAGGCCTCGGTTGGGGGCCGCGGACGCCCCTCAAAGGCTCACCAACGGGGTCCCTGCTCACTTGGAGACCAGCGAGAAGGCGTCGACACACACGGCCGGACAGGGGACCATCCGGACGGCCAGGCGGCCCAAAGCGGCGGGATAATGGACCCTCATCACCGTCTCAAACGCCCCGCTGAGCGTGTTTATGTCGGCCTGCTTGCCGCTCTGCTCCCCTGCAGACACACAACAGGCTTACAGAGGAAGAACCGCACAGATCTGAGATAAAATACACAGCTGATTGGGTCTGTCTCTAACTATTCTGTCAATTTAAAGTAATTCAGAATCAGAATCAGAATCAGAAATAACTTAATAATCCCAGGGGGAAATTATTTTTGTTACTAACTCCAGAAATACAACAGCATATATGTACATACTAAAATATCAATAATATTAAACTGTAGCTTTCTACTAAAGACAAAACAGTTTAATTGAGGCTTAACTAACCACTTCTAATGGGTTTTGTTAACATACCAGTGACTTTATTATTTAAAAAGACATAAAAATCTATTTAATGTTCCTATGACTCTAATCTTAATTCGAGCTCATTGGTCTGTGAGTTCCTCCTTATTCATAAAAAGTGTATAAATGAAATCATCTCCATCGTACCGGAGCCTGTGTCCAGTATGTTGCCTCCATGCAGGACCAGAACGAGAACGTGGATTTTGGAGGGCTGGGGACCCTGTTGGGATGAACAGTCCTGCAGAAGAGAGGAGGAGAGGGAGGAGAAGTGAGGAGCCAGCAAAAATTGGCTTATTGCTCCAAAACTTTAGCAGCTTACACTGTTGCATCATTCATACGGAGCCCTCATTATGTTGGAAATGTTGACGTAGGGTTTAAGAAAAACCTTAAACTCTGCAGTATGTGCAGGCTTAAGCACTCTGCTGGCCACATTCCAGCAGAATCCCTAATAAGCAGCAGCTCCAGCGTCGCATTCAGCCTCTAATGAAACGCTGTCAGCTGAAGGCTGACCGAGAGCTCATTTAGGAGGAGGAGCTTTATCTCCGGGCTTTTTAATAAAAGCTGTAAGAGGGACGGGAGAGAGATGAGAAAAGGGTGAAGCAACAGTACCTCCATCTGCGTCTCCTCGTTGCTCATGGCGACGTACTCCCCACCCGACTCCTGATACAAAGTTTCTGTGGACCCATAAATCATCCACTGAGTCACTGATATTCAATAGGAAATAAAAAAGGTGTCTTTACGGTTTCCGTTTTAAGCCTTTTTTTCTTTCTGAATTTACATTCTTCTCATAGTAAAACCACCGTTTGGAGTTCATTATACTTCATATTTTGATTCAGGACAGCTGTCAGCGGACGTCCCGACAAGTTTAACCACACGGTCAGGAACCCAGGAGCAACATCTCAGACTCTACAGGCCTCAATTAGCATGCTTAAGGTCAAAGGTCAGGACAGCATACGCAGAAATAGACTGATCAAGTACAGCTTGTTGACAAAGAGTGGGACAACTGCAGTATGACAATTGCCAATCACATCATGGACAGCTAACAAATAGATGAATTATTTTCCAATGATCGGACTCATTTGAAAATACTTCAAAGTCCAGAATTCAGGCTCAGACCTCTTTCTTCCCCGGCTCCAGGAGCATCCCTTACCTTGTGCTTCATCCACCTCTATCGTCTCTATTTTGTCCATGAGGTCCGTGGAGTTCCACTTGGTGATTTCCTTCGTGAACATGTCTTCATTGTCTGAGAAGTCCTCTGCAAAACAAAGAATGGAATCACTAGAAACCTGCATAAAATCCACCTAATAAAGGTTCTGTATTGTCATCAGAGGGGCCGTTACAATCAGCCTCTGTTCAAAGAACCTGATGTGAGACATCTTTGAGATCTAAGGAGTCCAGCTGATTATTTCAAGCTATCTGGCTCATCTAATCATCGTGCTTTCTCCTTTTAAGGGTTATTAGACGGTAAAAGACAGCAGAGCCTTTCATTCATGACACAGGTCCTTATCTTCAAATCCTCTAATGAATAAAACAGGTTAACAGCCTTAAGGGCATAAATCAGAACTATGCCCAATTTATAGTAGAAATAAATGGTTTAATTAAAAAAAAAAGATACAAAGAAATATTAGTACAGTTTAGATACAGTTTCCTGCTTCTTTTATTGAAGGTGACACATTTTCAAAGCATGCTCCATAAATAATGCAATGATTCTTTCATTTTTAATCAAAAGTCTGAATAGGTCTGGTCCAAATTTTGACTGTTGTTAATGCGCCTGGATGTAAAATGAAGAACAAAATGCTTAAAAGGTGTGAAAGATTGAGAATAGATTGATCCAGCTGCATATTTCTGGGGGTCAGAGGTTCTTAAAGTGATAAATTTACCGTGTGCATCGAAGAACTCGTCGTCTGTGCTGTCGTCTGAGTCCCGGGCGATGCTCTGCATCCTCCACTCCGAGATGCTCTGATGGGACGGACTCGCTGCAAACAGGCCGAGCACAGAGCTCCACTTAAATCACATTATTTACAGATAATAAGAAATAAAATCCATTCAGTCACGCCAGAGCTGTAATACAGCCTCCTATAATTCACACAGAAATGTTTAAAACAATCATATTGTCATAATCGCATCTTAAATGACTCAGATTTCCTTCAAATATTACATTGAGTTTAAAAAAAAACCCACAAGCATAAAGTTTAAAAAGCAAACTGCAGACTGATTATTACTGATTATTACTACAGCTGTTTTGCACATCTGGGCTCTGGGTGTGTCATTGACCCCCTCGTAGATTTGAAAACTGTTGGAACACATGAGGCAAACATGGCAGGCTAAGCCCCCCTGGTCCTGTGGGTCCAGGATTCCCAGCTCCAATTCAATCCAATTAAATTCAATTCAATTTTATTTATATGGCGCCACATCAAAGCAACATTCATCTCACAGTGCTTTCCAAACAGAGCAGGTCAGACCAGACTCTGAACTCTTAACTAGAGAAACCCAACAATTCCCACCATGAGCAAGCACTAGGCGACACAGGCAAGGAAAAACTTCCTTTGAACAGGCAGAAACCTGGAGCAGAACCATGGCTCAGGGTGGGCGGCCATCTGCCTCGGCCGGTTGGGGGTGAGGGAAAGAGAGGGCAAGAGAGAGAGAGAGAGAGAGAGAGAGGGCAAGAGAAGGACAGAGGGAGCAGAGAGAGGCAGCCAACACAGTAACACACAGACTGGATGAAAAATGGTGTAGGCGCCATATGCCCATTTATGTACATTTCTGTATATTTATGTGTATTTTGTATTTATTTGTTTATGTGAATTTGATGTTTTTGAAAAATGTTTACGAGTTAAAAATGTGAATTTAAAATATTTACGTTACTTAATGCGCCTTTAATGATGTGATAATTATGCGCCAGGTGCCCAGGACGGTGGCTTTTGTGAAATTAACACGGCAGGAGGAAGGTTGGTGCCTCACGGTTTTCTGACCGTGTTACGCTCGAGTTATGCCCATGCCATGCACGTGACGTGCTCGTTTTGTAACTTTAGATTTAGATTCGAGAAAGTTTAGGAAGTATATATTTTATATGTGTTCGTTTTAGGAAGTATACATTTTATATGTGTTCGTTTTTGTTATCGCCTTCGTTTAAAAATAAAATTGCAAAAATGATTTTTATTAAGACTTTCGAAAATACCCTACAAATGGCAATGATATTAATACTAATGATAATGGTAGAAGTTATGACAGCAATAACACTATGCAGAGTAGTTCAGCTCCCCCTGACCCAAACCCAAGGCTCTCTCTCTCCTCACCTCCTCTCTTGGACGAGCGGTTGGAGGATCTGGAGGACGTTGACCACTGCTTGGTGAGCTCTCCCCGCGTCTCCAGTGAGTCTCCCAGCTTCCCTCCATCGGCCTCGGCGGGCGTCCCGCCGGCGTCCGCCCCCCCGTCCTGCTCCTGGCCGGCGGAGGCCCCGTTGGGCTCGGCCCCGCCCTCCTCACTCAGGCTGTACTGGGCCATCTTCTTGGCCAGAGCCAGCTGGGTCTCCAGCTCCAGCAGCCGGATGTCGTCGATGGTCAGGCCGTACCACTCGTCCTGCCAGCACCAGGCCTGCCGGTGGGCGCGCACCATCACCTTACGCAGGCCTGCAACCACACCGCCGTTAGCTGGTTCGGACTAAATGCGAGGTTTCTTCCTCTTTCGGAGGGTAAAATCATACAGTTTTAATGTTGGAACACAGAATTAAACAGATGCCTCTAACAGCTGTTGGCTGTGATGTCTTACCTATTCCTGACCCAAACCTGATTAAATAAAAAGCACGAAATATCCATACATCCATCCATTTTCATAACCGCTTCTACCCATATGGGGTCTGGAGCCTATCCCAGTATTCAATGGGTGAGAGACGGGTTACACTCTGGACGGTCCGAGCACGAATCAGAATCAGAAATTTAATAATCCCAGAGGGCCACACGTTTAGACACACAAAGACCAACAACCATGCGCGCTCACTCACTCCTATGGGCCATTTGGAAAGGGAAATAAAGCCATAAAACTTAATGATTAATCACCATGTCTAAAAATAAATAAATACATTTAAAAACAGCAACTTGGCCCTGAAGGTAAAGGTAAAGCAATCAGATCAGGTTGCTGTATTCTGTGTAGTCCAGTGAAAATAAACACAAGGTCATAAAGATATTGACAAAGAATCAGGCTATTTAAAAACCAAGGGCGAGTCGGAAGCAATCTGAAATCCGAGCGGGGCGTTGGAGATGTGATAAATGTATTAAAAAGACAGTGAGAGGCCGAGGTGACTCCAGCGGGGCTGTGGGAGAGGAAAACGCAATTTGTGTTTGAACACGTGTTGATTAGAGGACGGAGCAGCTGCCGCTTCATTAATCTGGAGGTAAATGCGGCGAGGGGGCGAGCCGGGGGCTGCGGGGGGGGGTTCGCAAACAGCCACAGATCACAGCCACCGGGCAGGAAATGAACCCGGCGTGCTGTTATCTGGGAGAGCCAGAGGGCTTTCAATTAACCGTCATCACAAAAATAAGACACATTCTTTAGGTACACAGAGAGTCAGAAACATCTCCCACCCCTCAGTCACGTCCTGAAAAATTCTGGATGACGTCATCACCTAATTAGCATAATTTATTATGTGCATGCAATTCTAGTAAAGCTGAAGAGGAGAGGAATAACTTAGTGAAAGAGACGGAGAAAAAGGGTGTGAAAAACACCCCAAATGTGTTAAAAAACTACAAATAAACTCAAATCTGTTGATTATTCTTTCAAATTCAATCTATGTAACAGCTCCTCGTTTATTTGGGACCAGCACAATGTAAAAATCTGTCTGTGCAAGTTAAGAGTAAAAAGATTTGTGTAAGTTTACATAATTCATTCAGTTTTATTTAAATTTTAAAGAAATGTAATGTTAAATATCTAAGTTATTGTACAAATGCCTGTTTTATTCACTTTTTTATGAATTCATGTTGAAAATGATTCACATATGTGCACAAATGATCCGACGCCGCTTTAATTTTCCTCATGAATTCTGCAGACTTTCTGGATTTATGCTCTTCTTTGTGAGGACTTGAGGGGTCAGTTTGAATTATTTAGGACTTGTTCTCATTAAATCCCAGAGCAATAAGATTTGTCTGGCGCTTTTCACTCCATATTTTTTGCAGGATTTCATCACTTCAGCGTGTGTTTCCCTCTTTAAAACTGCTTCTCTGTCGTGCTTTTTAAAGTATTCATCAACCTCCTGATGTTAGCTTTTCCCTTTTTGGGTCTATCCCAGACTTTTTCTCCCAAACGTACCCACGTCGTGGATGAATCTCTCGATCTTGGACTGCATGCCCCAGTATCTGAACTCCACTTTGCAGAGTTTGTAGGCGCACATGACGGCGCTCTGACTGGGGTTCTGGTTGATCTCCTCGATCCAGTCCTCCGACAGAGGGCCCCGTTTGGTTTTGACTGACTGATACAGTTTGGGGTCCTCCTCCGCCAGGTACTCGTGGGGAGCGATGTAGTCCTTGACGATGTCTATGGGGTCTGAAAGGCAACGAGAGAAAGCGCAGTGAGACGGAGGGACGAGGCAGGTCCAAATACTGCGCGTCTCTTTTATGTAATCAGTCCCCGCAGGAAAACCGCCGACTCCACATCTTTCGGCTCCCCGGTGAATTTTAGTATGCAGAGGCTCAACACTCCGCAGCCTGTTTCCCACTGCCGGCAAACAACGGCGTGCACATTTAATTCCTGCTTTAATTCCTGAGCCGAGCGTCTCAGAGGCCCAATTCAGAGGTAATGATGCACTGAGCGTGTGCACGGAGACGAACACAAGAAGATCTCACCAACAGTCCTCTGTCTCTTGTCAGCAGAGGACAGATTGAAGACATCCGCTTGATTTCCAGTGTCTGGCTTGTAGTACGTTTCGATGTCTATGGAGAATTTCTCTACAAAGGGGCAGGTGTACCTGAAACACAGAGAACGGTCTCTTAGACTGGAACAGAAGGGAAAACTTTTAGGACTTCGAGCCACACTTTCCTTATAAATCACGTAAGAAAAACCTTCTTTACTTAAACACTTTCCTTATAAATCATGTCATAAAAACCTTCTTTACTTAAACATGATTTTATTAGGTTTGTTTTAGCTTGCAGCTTCTTAAATACTCAACGGTCTAATCTCCCACTGCTGGTTTGTTGCTTAAATTTAGGGTTTTCCTCAGCATTCCTACACATTTTATACACAGCAGGAAAGCTGAACGTCTTTAGATTAATATGATGCACCACAGGACACAATATAGCTGTACACACAACAAACACTGTACACAAAATACTGCAGGGATCAATTCATGAGACAATTCAAGATGGCGACCGTGTTCCACACTTAGCCTCAAAGATAATCCCCCTCACCCATTACTTGAATAAGCAACTTTTCTTTAAGTTTCTGACATAAAACAGTGTCCTGAGGCCAAAATTGTACTTTCCACAGAAGATCTGATTTGTGAGGTCCAAACTCGAGGACTCTGAAAGCCCATTAAAGCAGAGGAGGTATCTGCACAGGTTGTTTTATGAGGATAAAGTCATCAACAGGATTTATAGTAAGAAAGTGGCAGCAAATGAATGTGACCATTCAGCAGAATCTGTTCCAAATAACGAGAAAAATGTTAGTCAGCAAATTAACCCTCGTTATAATCTCTGAATTTACGATCCTGGGAGCCGTATCATAAAAACTATTATCAACATTTTATCGGTATGAGGTCAGCGTTTCTACTCGGGATGATTCCTAAAATCCTCTTCCCGGGGGGTCGGAGTGGGGGGGCAGTGCTCCACTCACCGTGTCCGGGTGTAGGGATAGGCGTTCCAGGACTCCTCCTCCACTCGGAGGGCGGCCTGAGGCAGGATGGCGCAGAACCAGGAGGGGATGTGTTTGCCGATGTGGTAAACCTTGTGGGTGTACTGGCCCGAGCCCCCGGGCCCGTCCTCGTAGGGTTTGTTCTCCAGGATCTCCACGCCGCTGCCCTCCCCACAGCTCTCCTCACGGCTCTTTTTCTGCAAAATTCAGACACAGAAAAGCAGAGATGAGATGCCCACATTCATCGAAAAGAAGGCTAAAGGGGGTCGGTGGCTCCTGTGTTGATGGGAAATGGAGGGGACAGATGCAGGGAAGAGCCATGACAAAAGAAATCTGAAAAAAATCATTTTCTTTACTTTTTTTTGTTTTTCAGTAATGTGTATACAAGAGGAACAATGAAAATAAAGTTCGTCTGAGGTTAATAAAGGGCACATTGGTGGGAGTGTTACTCACAACTTTCTACACCATTAGATTTTCAAACTTTTAAGAACAAAACAATTCAACAAAAAAAACTGAATTAGATCAACGAGAAAATGGGATTATTGTTGTGTACCCATATTGTGTATTAAAAAAAAACTCATGGTTAAGGAAGAGATTTATCTATCTATCTATCTATCTATCTATCTATCTATCTATCTATCTATCTAT